GTAGGTATGTATGTATGTATGTCTGCATGTCTGTGTGTCTGTATGTATGCATGCGTGTATGTATGTATGTATGTATGTATGTATGTGTGTATGTATGCATAGACCGAACCTTTGCAGCGCGAGCGTGAGCGTATGTATGTATGTATGTATGTATGTATGTATGTATGTATGTATGTATGCATGCATGTATGTATGTATGTACGTATGTATGCGTGTGCATGTGTAGGTGTAGGTGTATGTGCATGTGTATATATATGTCCATATAAAAACACATGCATTAACACACAGAAGAACATATGCAGGGTGACTTTGGGTTCGGGGCAAACTGGCGGGGGGTTCTTTTTCTCCTGACGTTGGCGGTCCCCTGCGTCCTTTGCTCACGTTGGCTCTCATTTTTGGTTGCAAATACTGTAAACTACAGCATTTGCTCCTGTCCTGCAGCAAGCTATTCAGAATTACAATTTGCAAGGTATTATTTCGCCCCAAGCGATTGTGGGATTGCAGTTTCGAGGCTCCTGCATTGTGCCAAGGTATTGGGGAATTCCAATTTGCAGGGTCTTGCTTTGTGTCAGGCTATTGTGGAATTACAATTTGCAGGGTCCTGTTTTCCGCCAACAAGCAATGGGGGGATTACAATTTCAGGGCTCCTGTCTTGCGTCAAGCTATTGGGGGTATTCCATCTTGCTGTATTGGGGAATTACACTTTGCAAAGTCCTATTTTGCTCCAAGCATTTGGTGGATTACAATTTGCAGGGGAGATCGTCATATTTCTTAAACACGTCAAATCATTTCTCGATTGCGTATACTCATACAATCATACATCTTAAACACTCCCCTTCATGCGGCGATTCCGGTTCATCATATATGTTAAGCACGCCCCCTCCTTTGGCGATTCCGGTTCCCCACAATATATCTTAAACACACTCCTCATGTGGCGATTCCGGTTCATCATATATCTTTAACACACACGCCCCCCTCCCCCCATTGGGCGAGACAGGTTCTTCATGTATCTTAAACACGGCCCTTAGTAGGCGATCCAGGTTCATCACACAGCTTAAACACGCCCCTCGTTTGGCGAGTTAGGCTCAACACATATCTTAAGCACCCCCCCTCATCATCTATGTTGAACACGCCCCCTCGTTTGCCAATTCCGATTGTGCTGCTTTTGCTAAACTGCCGAGCCCGCCCCCAAACTTTTCATTGTCGTGCGACAACTTACAAACGAGAGCATCCTGTATCTCAAACATGCGCCCCTCTATTGCGCGATTCCGGTTCATCACACATCCTAAACACTCCCCCTCATTTGGCGACCATGTTCATCACGTATCTTCAAGACGCCCCACATACATATCTTAAGCACGCCCCCTCCCCCCCCCCCATTTGCCGATTCCGCTTCATCATTATCTAATTTGCTAAACAACGGCAGGGCTAAAAAAGAGACCGGAGCAGGTTGGGGAGCCGCAGGACCAGGGGATCAGGGCCGACCGGGGGCCTGTGCCAACCCTACCAGGGACCCCAGGCCAGAGCCAAACCTTAGGAAAAAAAACGGGACCCCATTGGCAAACTTATGCACCACAAAACCAAGAGCATGTTTGCAAGGACATGAGTGAACCATGAAACCAATCAACAACTAAACCACACAGTCCCTTACCATCTGTGGGACAGAAGTAAACATTGAAAGCACTCAGCCATGAAACCAAAACTTTCCCAAGCTAATGTCACGCAGCTGTCAGCAGTTTTGGGTAAGTGCCTCCACACGCGCAATGCACATGCTGCAGTGTGCTCACGAACAACTACAGTCGCACAGGGTTGCAACCACCCACATGGGTTATAAGTGAGTTCGATGATTTTCCTGCTAGGAAAGTTCACTTTGCCGAGGCGGGCTTACTGTTTACATTTAGACTGGTACATATACTATATAGTGCTTTATGTACATATATATATATATATGTGTGTGTGCACAAATAAAAGCAGTACACGCAGTCGGACCCCATTCACCTGCGTAGCCACGGCGTGTTTTAGAGCTTTTGGCCAACAGTCGTAGCTCTTTCCTCGAGCTTTTGCAGCTTTCCCGGCCATCCGCTTCTAGAGCTTTCTTCAACCTTTTGACTCCTGTTCGTTGCTTTCGGACTCGACTTTCTGGTTCTTGCATGTTCAGGATGTTTCGAGCGATTCTGTGGAGGTGAGGGGAGGGGGAGTGGGAGGGTGGCGATAATGACGTTCTTTGGTACCGACTGACTGTCGCGTTGGGTCACTGCAAGGCCAGGGACAAGCAAGCCTTTGAACATGGCCATGGACAATGAAGCCTTCGAGCCGGGCGGGCATACTTGGCTCTGCCGCCCCTGTGGCGCTGCGTTGCGGTCCACACAGACCTTATCCGTTGACGGCAGAGCATTCATGGACCAACCATGATAACGTCCACCCACCCCATCCGCTGTCACAGAGCATCTCTGGGCCAAATATGATTTCGTCCACCCAGACCACGTCCGTTTTCGGAAGAGCATCCATGGGACAACCATGATAACGCCCACTCAGACGTCACATGGGCCAACCATGATCGGTCCATCCACACCACCCGTGGGCCACCATGATAACGTCCACCCAGACCCCATCCGTTGTTGTTTAGGGACCCCATAAATACCAGATTACATGTAGCATAAAGCATGGCGCAAGCATGCCATGGAACACGAAACCGGTACCGCACGCGTGTGTGTGTGTGTGTGTGAGAGAGTGAGTGTGTGTGTGTGTGTGTATTCAAGTTCAAACTCAATCACATCGCAAGACTCCCAACATGCGGCTATGCAGCGTGGGACATGTACTTGCATGTACCATTTTGATGATGTGGCAATTTGAATACCAACAAAGTGCTTCAATATGTATACACACGTACTTTGCGGATTCGCCGGCCAGTGCAATACCTGTTCGTGGATCAATTGTGTAGTCGGCACGGAGGGCACTCTTGTCTGTCGGTCATGAAACGCCTGCTTGCATAAGAATGAACAACACCCGTGTTCGTTACACAGCAATGACAACCAAACCTGTCGTGTTGGCTTGCTTCAACCCGGCTGTGGTTTCGAAGCTGGCCTTTACGGCTTGCGCCTGAGCCGCAGCACGCAATGCACATGCCCATAAATGTGCACAAAAAGCTCGAGCCAGCCCGAATGTGGCTCTACGCTTTCCCGTTCACGTTCCATTTGACTGTCAGCCGACCGTCCGGCGATGAACTGGTCCCTACTTTTTTTGTCCAAATTGTGGGGCCTCCACTCCTGCACACAACGGCGCCATTCTATGGACTTATCGAGACCCTCGAAGCTGTGTCGTCTTGCGGTGGCTTTCTTGGAATCAGGTCGCCTCATTCACCAAGTGGTCCGCCCAAATCTTGTCGTACAAGGTACGCGGGCCAGCCTGGCACGAGTCGGCAGCCCACAAACCGCCCTGAACTGACATACATCATCTTGCGATCCCACGCGGTGGTCAATGCTGGCCCAGTGTTTCAAACAATAAGAAAATAAGTCTGAAAGGTTCGATCAAAAGTCGGAGTGCACAGATTGGAAGGCAACGACCGATTCGTGTTGTCAGTGCCTGGCTGCTGTCCTCGTACTGGACAGCAGTTGGTGCCATTTGCCTCACGACAGGGGTTTCCACACTCAACAAGCTGCAAGTGCATGGTTCACAACATGAGCTGCTTCAAGTTCCGCACCAAAGATATACACGAGATGAGTCCTTTCTTGAGCAAAACTGCTACGGTCATGTTGCACTCGCCAGCGTTTCCAAAACTGTGACATTGCAAACGTCCGAGCCCGAGCGACTTTAGCGAATCGGGCAATGAAACGTCTCATCCAAGTGACATGTTCGGTGGTCTGACTGGTCTGCGTGTTGCGGGACTAAGACCATCGGGCCCACGGGCCCACGGGCTCACACGCCCACGGGCTCGCCACGGGCCCACGGGCCGGCCCCGGGTCCGTGGACAGGCGTGTGTATTTATTTGGCATACGCACACATGCTCTTACATGCATATGTGTGTACGCATGTATTCATGCATGTACATACCTATGTACGTACGTATGTACGTATGTACGTACGTATGTATGTATGCATGTATGTACATAAGTACGTATATATGTACGTATGTATGTATGTACGTATGTATGTACGTACGTACGTAATATGTATGTACGTACGTAGGTATGTATGAATGTACGTACGTATGTACGTATGTACGTACGTATGCATGTATGCATGTATGTATGTATGTATGTATGTATGTATGTATGCAAGCAAATATTTGTTGTACGTCTGCCTGTAACTGTTGTACGTATGTATGCGTTTATGTAGGTCTGTATGCATGCATGTACGTATGTATGTACTTATGTATACATATGTATGTGCTTATCAACGCATGTGTTTATCTACATGTGATGTATGCGTTTATCTGTATGTGTTTTAGGTTCGTATGTATGTATTTAGAGAAGTATGTTTTTGTGTTTGTGTGGAAGTGTATACACAATTAAGTATATGAGCCATTCATGCTATGTTCTGCATGTACTTGTATGTGATCTGTTCTTTGTATAATTGTATTACGAATTGATATGTTGTGTTTACGCTCTGTCGTGTGTGCCGATGTATGTATCTATCTATACGCGTATGTATCGTCATATGTGCAAGCATATGTACATGCATGTACGCATTGCTGTACTTGTATACTGGCATGTGTTCAGAGTCTACATGCTGTTTATCTATATATATATATACACAATTAGATGTACATACATACAAATACCTGCGTGCGAACTAATGCATGGGGTAAATTCCTTCCTATATTTCGTGCTTACGTCTGAGCGTGGAATAGTCTTTGTTGTAGTTTGCTAAACTATGTTATGTGGTGTTGTGCCCCCTATATGTTACGTTAAGTTATGTTATGCTATATTATGGCTAAGCTTTGCTACGTTGGTGTATGTTGTGTTTTGTTATGACTTATGGCTAAGCTTTGCTACGTTGGTGTATGTTGTGTCTTGTTATGACATGCTGTGTCTTCTGTGCCGTGTCATGTGGTCTCGACATGTCACGTCCGGCGTCATGGTACGTTGTTATGTGTCATGCTATGTCTTGCCATGTCATGAGTTTTGTGCTATGCTCTGTATGTATGCAAGCCTTTGTGCATGCATTTACATTCTGAAGGTGTCCTAAACTAGGGCAAGGACGAAGGGTATGGATATTGGACCGGACATTGAAGGCTCGTAATTAATATGGCTGAGTAGTGCCCCGGTACTGCAAACTCTCAACCTAACATCGTAAAGCATCGTCACGACTCATCAGAACTCTGCCATCTCTGACAACCATGGGTGAGTATTGTCGCCACTGTCCTTCTTCTACCTGACTCGTCTCGCCTCGCGTCTTTCAAGCCTTAGCCTAGCCGGGTATTGCCTGTGATCTTCTATGATCTTCTTCTCCCCGATGCCTGCTTGATTAAATTGATCTTCTCCTTTCTTCAAAAGGCAGCACAAACATCGATCCTGAGGCCTTAGGACACCATATTGAATACACGCTCGTACAAAACACAATCAAGGATGCGCCAGACGACCAACTATTATGATCCCAATCCGTCTTGTTCTGTTTCTGCCAAATCTTTGTCATTTCACAGACACACGTCTTGTGTCTCGCCAAAGAGAAACACTGACATCGGTCATTGGGACGTTTTATAGGTTACATGATCTTAACGAACATGGCCAGGCATGCTTCATTTTCAAGACTTCACAGGAACACATCGTGTATCGCGTGCTTTCCAATTCTTAACCCGGCTTGCAACTACTCTTGCCTGCGCATCCCTCGCTGTGCTCATGACCAACGGGCCCACGGGCTCACGGGCCCACGCCGCCACGGGCCCGCCACGGGCTCACGGGTCCACGGGCCCAGGGCCCGCGGGCCCGTCCGCCGAAAAGACCATGGCCGAATACACTTTGCTCTGTGCCCGGGAACACTTCCGCAAGGTGGGTGAGATGCTTCACAGCAGAAGAAGTGTTTCAGGCCTCGCCGGACCTCTCCAGTCAGAACTCGGAGAGCCATGTGAAACTTGTCAACAGCTACTGTTGCTTGAGTCTTCATTGTCCGGAGTGTTCTGGAATTGCACGCTCTGCAGCCGAAATCGAAGTTCCATCTGCGTAAGGCATCTGTTGATCGCCTGCGCAGTAGTGCGCACTACGAGTCGAGATGCATTCTGAGATTGTCTGCATATCTGTACGTTTGCGTTCCTGCTTTTCGTTGCTTTTCGGGTTTCGGGCTTTCTGCTGGCTTTTCGTGGTGTAGGTGTGGAGCTGTAAGGACTTGAACTGGATTTAGGCAGCGACGCTGAGATGCTCAACCCGCTGATTTCCCTCCCTCATCTCGCTGCACGAGTATTGAAGCAAGGAAGGACGGGGTGAAACTGGCCTGCAACATCCAGACTGACATTTGCATCTTCAAGCTGTGTAGCAGAACCTTCGGGATTCGGAATGTGAGTAGCAGGTGAGACCTAGGTGCAAGGGCTCGGGTCTTCGGCCGAGTTGACCAAGACCAGAGCCGTAGAACGTCTGCAGTCAGTTTCGGCCAGCAGGCCTGAGCTACAGCAAGACCAATATTTGTAGGACCGTTTCCATGAATTGGGAGCCCGACAGCTGTGTTCCGTTCTTTACAGCTTGACGAATGCGTTTGGCCGCCGTCTCCGCCTCCAGCATGTTCCGTGTGTTGAGCAGAAACTGTTACAGGTACATTGTCAGTGACAGGAGAATCTGTCACTGTGAGGCTCTGAGGAGAACTTCAGCTGGCCCTGAGGATTCGGCCAGCTCCACTTTCCTTTCCCAGTTGCGCTTCTGCGCCTGGCGCATGAGCTGCAGAAACTGCTACTTCTCGGATGAGCACTGGCAAGCCTCCAGCTCGTATGCCTCTGCCTTCTGACTGACGTAATCTACCTGCATCAGGCAAAAGCTCTTGTCATGTCATGCCGGCTCATGAAGATGGGCTCCGAACCACTTGAGGCATCTCTGGCGACTGCCGAGACCTAAGTGCCAGGAGTCTTCACAGAGCCACGAGACCGGCGCACTGTCACCGAGTGCTAGACTGCGCTCGAAGCTTCTTATGCTCCTTTCTCGCTGCTTCTTTCTCCTCGACCACCTTGCAGATGTCCTTCTCCGTCTTTGCCAGCATTGACCTCCTGTCTTTGATCTCATCTTGCAGAAACTTGGCCTGCAGAACGGAGAAGGCAGAAGTGAGCGCACAAGCCAAGCCTGCCTCGGCAGTGAGGCTGCTAAGCCGCTTCTTCATATTGTTCAGGATCTTCACCTACCCGAATCTACCCTCCAACCGCAACTTTGCAAAGCTCGAGAATCGAACAGAGCATCATCTCTTGACTTGACTTGTCTGATTTCTTACAGTCTTACAATGTGGCATCGGCAGCTCGGTCAAAATGCCAGGCACCAGCATGCTCGGAAAACCGTCTCATCCGTCTGGGGAAGCTCTTCAACAAGACGGAGATGGTGTGAGGCGACATGCCGCGACTCATGAGCGGTGGGTCTAGTACTTCACAGGTTCTCATGCGTACAGTATAGCTTTGTTGTGCCTCAATTGCCGGGTATCTGCATGTCAATGAACGGTCACGGTCCAGCCGAAGCACCACATCGTCTATGCCGTCTGGCAAGCCATGTCTGGTTTTAGCGAGACATCCGATCTCAACAGCGGGAACTGTACGGATATCGAATACAACACTGCCTCGCCCCAATGTGCACACTCTCTCTCACGACGCTTGGAGCGCAGTATCAGAAGCGCGGAGCATCTCAGATGCTCCGACCACATGTAGGCCGGAAACTATAACTGTTTTGGAGGGGGGGTATCAGCATGTGGAGAAGGAGCTATCACAGACGAGAAGGTATCAGACACACGGAGTATGCGCCGGACAGGAGGCATCAGATGTGCGGAGTATGCGTGGAACGGAAGGTCCTGACATGCGGAAACTAAGTATCCCGACTTGCCGGGTATTCTAGGGGAGCATCAGACGCGCGGAGTGGCTCGCGACAGCAGGTATCAGACCACGGACTAAATGCGGCGGAAACTATCTCCGGAGAGGCGGGGTGTTATCAGACGCGTGGGGTTACGAGGTTGCCTGGGGTACTGAATGAAAGCAGGATACCTGACAAGCCGCAGCAGGGCTCGCTGTTCGTGACACGTTGGAGTGAGCTGAGGTCCAGGCAGTCCTCCCAGCACGCCGCTTCAGCTCAATAAGCTCCTTCAATCGTGAACGAAGGTGGCATTGGCATCATGGAAGAACAACAGAAGCTGCACACGGTTCTACCCTACGTGTGCAACATCACTTGAAGGTGAGGGCAGTAAGATGGGCGTACTTCGGCTAATCCAAGCACAAGCATCACACGACCATGCACGACCTCAGGGAGGTCTGCTGCAGGCTCCCTGTCCTGATTTGCCTCCTCAATGCGCTTGACGAACTGGGAGTTTTCTATTTGCAACTGATGAAAGTCCTGATGCAACGGGTAAACACAGGCCTTTGCCTTGAAAGCACCGTCCCTCGGCCAACTCAGCTCCATGCAATGTATTGCAAGTCGTCACCAGTTTCCGCTTTCGACTTCAACTGCTGCTCAGCCTTTGCACTGGATCGCCACTGCCAGTCACTCTGCACCCCGCACATGCTGCCTTCTTGATCGCCACTTTGTATGCTTGGTTCTTCATCAGAAGCTTGTTGATTTGCATATCCTTCTCGGATTTCGGATCAGCTGAACGAAAACTGGCCAGCTCGCAATAAGCTGGGGCAGAGCAGCCGACCAGCCTTCTGTGTCAACTTGTCTTCCATGTATTTGAGGACCTAGCTAGGTTTGCAAGCTGGTCTAGCCATGGTCAAAAAATCCACCACACCAGCAAGCATACATACTATGACATGAATTGCCGAAGTGTAGGCAGTGTAGACCCGCAGGCCTTCTCTGCGACGGTCTTGCCAGTGCGAGGGTTCTCCGCACCAACGACGATGTCTCGCCTGGCGCCGCATGAGGTGACAGGAAAAGAAGTTACCACGACTCCGCCAGACTCGGCAAAGTACGGAAACTGTTAGAGGTCAGCAGCGTACCACGAGTGCCTGAACTCGTAAGCATCTCGTTTGACCTCTGCTATCCTGATGTCCGTTTCCTGCAGGGCCAAGCTCTGCGAAGTAACCACACTGCGGATTAGCTGGTTCCGTCCTCCATCAGTGCCTTCAAGATGTCAAGGTTCTGATCAGACGTGAGCTTCGTTTGTGCCTTGCAGCAGACAGTAATCAAGCCTGAAGCTCCTCGCTGCACACGCAGGTTGGGTACATTCGCAAGTCGGCTGCAATGCAGCACAGCGCCTGCTTTTTTAACATCCAGCTTGCGAATGCAGCTGTGCACTGAAACAGTCTGCCACAGGCATGCCCGGCGGGTTTTTCGGTAAGGAAGGATTTACTTCGCCCTGGACTTGACGTAGCTCTCCAGAGCAAGTGACCAAGCTTCTTGGGTCAGTCCCTGTGGCAAGTGCACTGCTTGCACACCCAAGGACCTGGCACACGTGACCGAAACATGAGTGTTGTCAGAGCAGCCAGAGCATGGCCGTATCCCATGTGCTGCTTGTGAACGGGCCTCACAGATTGAACATTCTCTTCAGCATCGTCAACGAAAAGGACGTCACTGGGAGAAACGGCAGACTTCGAGAGCAGTGCCTGGTGGGTCATGGGCAGTCCAATTCTGCATCACGAGCAGGACTGTGCAGCTATCTCAACATGTAACATCAACTCGACAGATCTTTGCCTCGCCTCCAAGTGCGGCCGTTTGCCCTCGCCGCGCCGGTAGTACATCTCGAACAGCCTGACGTGATGAACCGCTTAGGAGTTCCGACCCACTGTGTCACCTCATTTAAGAGCCCTGCTTGGGATCGATCACGTCCCACATAGACACGCCGGGCACAATCTCCATCGTTTTTAGCAAAGGCACCGCCTTGTGCCTGCGGGAGCTACCTGCAATCTAACTGCGTCTGGCCGCATCCGCGGCATGTGGACCACTGCACATCACTGCACATCCGCTTTGCTTCCTAGCTGCTGGCCACTGCCACGCGCACGCCGCGTGAGCGGGCCTCTGGGCTGTGAAGCCTAAGCTTTTCGCGCTCATGTCTGATGATGTCTGATGCAAGAGCAAACAACATGGAGCAGCACGCGCTTGCTACAAGCTTCTTTTCACCTGCAAGTGTAAGAGGCGTTGCGCATGGTGTGCCTGAGATCGCGAAAACTTGCTCCTGCAAGGATGAAACACAGCTGCAAAGTAGTGCACCTACATATGTTGCAAGAGTTCTTCCGTTGCCCACTTGGCTTTGTCAAAGGTCCGCTCAGTTCTCCCAAGGGTCGCTGTCACGCACGTACCAGAAGTAGGTCACCATCGGGGCGATGAAGGCACCCACAAAAAGGATGCCGAAGACGCCAATGTACTCGTCGAATTTCGCCTCGAACTTTTCGTCGGCTTTGATGAACTTCTCGTCATCGATGAAATCCTTCTTCTTTGCCGAGCCTTTCATCGTGTACGTTCCGTCAAGACCGCCGCCGCCCTTGCCGCCCATGGACACTGGCAAGTCCTCGGCCAGGACGATGTTTGAGGAGTCAACATAGCTGTTGGCCACATGAGCCGCAGCCACGTTGCCCTGGGTTCCCACGGCCAACACTCCAGCCAGCGCCGCAGCACGCAATGGAGCGATGAATGCCGGCAGCTGGGAGAACAAAGCCAGGACGGCAGCGACAGCGAGCAAGGCCCCAAGCTTGGACTGCCGACGGAAGGTCGCCATGCTCCCAACTGACTCAGACTGGCTTACTCAGAGAGCCGAAAAGCTTGGCGACCGAGCACTCCAAGAAAGGCATGAAAACAGACTCTGGTGTCCCAACTCATGGCAAGGAGCATCTTCCAAACTGCCTGGACCGCCGGGAAGAGCCGGATCTCCTCAACTTGCAACCCGAATCTCCCACAAAGAGATGGCCAAGTGCAAGCACACATCAATGCACTTTTGCGCCTCATCCCTCGAGTTCTTGACCAAGCCCTGGGCCACGAGGCTGTAGGGTTCACCCCCCTTGGTCTGATACCTGCACTGCGCTGATATAACTCTGCCACAAGGTTGTGGATTGCAGCCTGCAGTACCTATGTGACACACCGCCGTCTATAACTTGGTGAAGGTGAGTCACATCTCGGGAGACCAGCAGACCTTGACCACACTGCACATGAGCCGTCAGCACTTCTGCCGAACTCTCCGAAGTTGGAAATCTGCACCATGTCAGCAACGCGACTCCATCCAGGTCGAACACCATGAGCAATGGCAAGGATTTCACGTCCTCGGAGGAATGTGGTCCGCCAACCGGAAGGGAGCTCATTTTTTCAGCCCCCACACAAGCCCGTGATCATTGAGCTAACGAAGTTAGGTGGGGACAGGAGGAATACGTTGCACGAAGGTCTCTCTCTCTCGAAACTCCTGCATGTGCCTGCAACTCATCACACGCACCGGCTTCGACCGGCTCGTGGCTGTTCAATGCCCCACGACCAGGTGCATATGACGCGCTGACTTTCAGTATCTTTCAGTGTGCATGTTTCGACCGATTCGGCAAGCGGGTGATCAGCAGCCACCTGTACCGCCTAAAGCACACGGCCTTCCGACAAGCCCGTCACTATCGGATCGAAAACTTCCCATAAGCCCCATGACATACAGTTCTGGTTTCAGAAGTTGCGATTTTAAGGCAACCAGGATCGAAAACAGCTCATTGCTCATCATCTGCTGAAAGCCAAGAAAGTGTCACGCCAAGCATCAGAGATGGTTGGCCTCGTCGCAGAATCAAAAGCTCGTTCGGCGCGCACACACACGCACACAAACACAATCACAATCACAAACACAAACACAAACACACCCAGCCACCCAGCCACCCAGCC